CAGTTGTCCAAGTTGACATCGTCATCAACACACATTATTCTGTTTATTACATCCGAGTTGATAATATCCGACCCCCTGTGCCTTCCACGGGTATATAAGTGAATCCTCCTTCAGATGCAGGGTGTTTGTGTTTGTTATTGGAGCGTTGCAGTGGCCCTCTCGCTCCAGCGGGCGCGGCGGCGACTCGACCGGTGAGCCGGGCACGAAGCCGGGCCCGCGCCGTCGCCGAGGTCTTTGCATAACGCGCTGTAGCGCCCGCGACGGGGAAAGCGGCGGTGGCGGCATCTGAATCGTGCCCTCCGGCGAGTGACCGCAACCAGACCGCGCCGCGCTGCGCTGCTCAGGCCCTGCACGCAAGCCCCAGAGCTGGAAAGCGACCCTGCCGTCACCGGGGCCGACCGCATAAATTTCTTTCGATTCGAGGCTTCTCAGTAAGCTAAAGATACACATCTATCTGCAGTATCTCCGTCCGTCCGCACTTACGGTTACACGTTAATTTCATTCATGGTTAAGCATGGAAAAACACATACATATTCATCCGTAGCTGGGCCGCTTCCGATCCGCCGTTGGTGGCTAGAGAGATGTCACTCGACGCAACCACGACTGCTGATGGGGATATGGCAATTTTTGTATCCTTCGAACAATATTATTTTTATTATTGTTATTATTATTATTATTATTATTATTATTATTATTATTATTATTATTATTATTATTTTATATTTAAGCATTAATATCAAATAGGGGCAGATGGAATTGGGAGAGTGAAGCACGGGAAGAAATTACTATACAGATCTCTTCCCGGACACCGATTGGGGCAAACAAAATTTTATTCGAAGCGTCTCGGAAGCTTGTGGTAAAAGCATGTTTTATACTAATCTGAGATTAAAACCCTCAAACTAATATACATGAAAATACTTTCAAAATTGTTTCAAGGATTGGGGATGTCACACTAAACTACTATTCAATATTTTTCTTCTTTCTCAGGGGCGTAAACACTTCTCAGTGGATTTTGACTCAACATTCACCAATTTGCTGTACCGAATCTGTTGTAGATAATAGGAAATGGGAGATATGCGGATGGGTGATAAGCCCTTTGCCCGACTCCAAGGTTGGAAACAGGTAGATTGGATGGGAGGTTGGATGGGAGGTTGGATGGGAGGTTGGATGCGAGGTTGGATGGGAGGTTGGATGGAGAAGGAAACATCAAGATCGGCCATGGCATATTCATCCTCATATTAATATTAATCGGAGACATTCGCGAAAAACACCGATTAGAGCAGCCTCACTAGAATTACCGTCCATTTAATGTATTAAAAAACTGATTTTATATTTTACCATGAATAATGTCGCAAGTATTATGGTCCGAAACGTTGGATACCGCGCCTAAAACGTGGCGTCTCCCGGGAAGCCAAGATTCTTTCTCCTGGCTTTGAATTAGAGAATCTTTTTTATCGATATCAGAGATAAAAAATGAATTTTTGCCTCCTTTAAGACCACTGTAATCATATCGCCATTCGAGAAGATTCGGAAATATACAACACCCCTTCGGCTTCATTCTCTGCAAATCTTAAATAAAAAATTGAAATTGAGTGCCCTTTATCCCAGTGTCTCCGCTCAAAGAAGCTGAATGACTTCTTCACCCCATCCAAGACCTCCCCATTTTGGGAGACCCAAAGAATTATGAGCAATATGAAAATGACACGTTTGCATAACATGAAGTCAATAATATACTTCAATTGTACAACAATTTCTTAAACTAACTTTTACAAATACTGAGCCCAAAATAATTTTATAATATTACATCAATTTTGGTGACAGAGTGGTTATATTAGACCATTCAGTGTTGCATAAACATGTATAGTGGATCGTAAGGATAAGTAAATAAAATTTATATACCTAAGTTTTTGGCATTTCAGGATAGGATAAATAGCCCTGAGCTCTGTATTTATTTATCCCCGTTTGGGGGTAAAGGAGACATGTTACAACGTGGACATATTCCCTTCCCCATATTTAGCATACTTGGCCTGCCTGAGCTTTTCCTTCGTTATACAGCTATAGAAAGAGTTACGATTGTAAAGTCTACAGCTCTATTTTTGCCCCGACCGGGAATCGAACCCGAGATCGAAACACTGAAAGCTAGCACGCCACCCATGAGTCTCGCAAGGGGCCAATAAAATATACCTACCAACAAATAATATCCAGTAGTTCAGTATTGAAATGTTTTAATATTGTTCTACTTACAATGTTAAATCATGTTTCTTATAGTTCTGAAGCACGACAAATAAATGACCGTAACGTTGGCACAACACTTGAACAACAAATAAATATTTTAATGACTTGCCCTCATATACGAATAATTCGTTAGACAACGAGGCCAATATAAACTCGGCAATACTTATACATGAAAATTAAGATAAAAACATAGCTCCCTGGCAAATATGACGTTCAGTATTATGTCGCCGTGTGGGCAATTAGGTTTATTTTGTACTGTGATACAAGTTTTATGAATGCGAAAAACTCATTGTTATTGTCGTAAATGGACACGAAGTTTTATTGTATTAGAGTAACGAGTTGTATTATCATCGTACTTGGCTTTAATGGCATCAATGAGCAAGTTGAATGTGTATTGTAATATTAATTATAATGTGGTTATAAACAAGTAAAATTTTGTAAATTCCGCACTTAATTCCATATGAATGTAATCCTGGCTAGAAATGTTGAAGTATTTAGAAATTTAAAAAATGCAAGTTATATATTTGAATTGGTGGATTCAGATTGCGTAGAGATGCTAGCCCCCTCGAAAGCACTGTCGGAGAAATAGACATGGCAACACTGAGAGAGAACGACTTCGGTTAGTGTTTTCGCGGCAATCACAGTTAAAACAAAGAAGTGCAAATCGCGTTGATGCGAGCAAGACCTGATATATGGTGTACGGGCAACAACCTATGAACACAAGGCTGAAGTCCAGAGAGAACTTCGTGAAAACAATTCGGTCTCTGAAGTGTTTTACGGATACTTCACCAATTCGGAGAACGCTGGATTCTTTGAAACTTTTGTTGACTCTGTCAGGAAACCACCGACCGGCAGTGACGTGATAAGAATATTGTAGACGTCAGACTGACAGAATTACAGATTTTTAGTCTGAGGCCAAGATTTTGTGAATACAATTATAATATTTTACATTTAATAATATACAATACATGTTATAAAAGTCACAGCCCAAATCTGAAATAAGGCTGTTACGAGAAGTGGGTTAATTGTGCCGACCTGGATGGCCGAGGTGGATGGCCTGTACCGACAAAGCGCCTCGGTCCGAAGGGTCGCGGATTTGACTCCCGCTGCGAGCGTAGTTGTTTGTCCCTTGTTTTTCGTGTATGGTTGTTTTCGCAGAAGGCCTTGTGAACCTGCTGTCCACAGACGTAGGAGCCCGCATGAGTGTCTAGTGTAAAGGTTAATATGCGTTTCCACGAGGGACGAAGTGGGAACCCAGCGCGAATAGCCGACTTCGGCATCCCCTGGAGCAGGAAAAAGCTCCAGGAAGGGGGGGGGTAGTGTATTATGAATTCATATATTAATAGATGGGTTGGATAAAACTATGTCAAACAATGAACGGATCATTTCAGGCTCCGTTTGGCTCATGTTGGCGTAAGCCACATAGCTCTGGCTAAGAAAGGAGTTTGTCTGATAGTGAGGTGTTTGGTGTGTTCGCAAGAAGTATTTTGGCATAAAAATGCGTTGAAAATTATAAGTTGTACAAACTCAATTTTTTGTATGTTTGTAAATTGCGAATGCCGAAGCGTCGCCCCAAACTCAGAAATGCATAGCGAAGTATCAACTGAGAAATGCAATATGGTTAGGCAGGGGAGGATCCATACACAAATTTTAGAAGGGGCTATTACAATCAGTTCCTTTTAAAACAAGTACTACTGCTATCATCGCCAACACTAGTATATTTATTGCATTAGGTTACATCAAGTGTAATGACGGATCTATTTTGTTAGCTTTTTATTTTTCCTTCTCAATGCTGTGTTTGTAGACATACATTTACGTGGGTAATTGCTACGTAAAATTGAAGTAAATAACAAGATTGCTACATTAATTGCTCTGAAAATTTCAAATATCCCCCATCCTTTGATCATAAATTAATACTTCTAGATTTCTATTCCGCAGATTCACTTTATGTACGAATGCTAATAAAATTCTGTGCTCTACTGAGAAACTCTGTACTAATTGCTAATAAAACAAAAAGTTCAGGATGAACATACCCAAAAACATCGTGATGTGACTTATGAGTCAAAGTAGAGCAGCATGGTCCTATTAACATGCCCAAAAATCAATTGAACAAAGTAAATTGTCGAGTTTAATGAGCCTTCATTCCCACCCGCTGGGCTACTGTGCTTCAAATGGTCTTCTGTGTACCACTACGAGAGATCAACAGCACATTCCCAAGACACTGTCGTTGCATAGGAAAGAAAGACCCGCTTTCAATTCTCTTCTTAAAAATTACTGTATTTACTACATTGGTATCGGGTACGTATTATTGTGCGTTTACTCGTAGGAACATTTTTACCTGACTTTCACTCAAAAGTCACTTACCGTTACTTACCGTCACATACCAGGTTCTCATTTTTGAGAAGCACGTAAACGAATATCTTTGAGTGTGGCAAAACGTGACCTGCCTGTAACACAAGAGCATGGGGAGTTGGCTACTATTCATGGGCAAATGTCGCTCATGTAACTTGATATATGACATTTCCCACCGCATGTTAAGTGATCATCTTCGACCCCTTATACTCCGATTAACGAGTCAATAGACTTTTGATCAACAGTTATCCAATTGGGAGCTATAATATACAAAACTAAGTTGAGGCGAGGCTCCTGATTGGATAAAATGTCTGATCAAAAGTCAACTCGCTCAAGGTTTAAGCGGTTTACACATGCCCTGAAAGAGTGTAACCTTTGTTCTGAGACGTCCTGTACATCGCGCCGCTTGGCAGGGCGGGATGTACTTCTTCCAGCTGATCGACCACTTCGCGGCGTCCATCTCCATCATGTACCTGGCGTTCTTCGAGGCGATCGCCGTGGCGTGGCTGTACGGCGCGCGGCGCCTGGCGCGCGACGTGCGCGCCATGACGGGGCGCCGGCCGTCGCTGTACATCCGCATGTGCTGGTGGGGTGCGGCGCCGCTGCTGCTGTTCGCCGTGTGGGTGTTCAGCCTCATCGACTACGAGCCGCCCACCTACAACAACGGCGCCTACCGCTACCCGTCGTGGGCCGAGGCGCTGGGCTGGGGCGTGGCGTCGCTCTCGCTGCTCTGCATCCCGGTGTGCGCGGTCGCCGTGGTGGCGCGCGCGCCCGGACACTCCTTGTTCCAGGTGAGGGGGGTGGAGGGAGAGACGCTGCTTTACTGTGCGGAGGCGGATTCCTGGGTACTTATTTGGCATAAAATACTGTAACTGATACAGTAACAAGTTCACTTGTTACTGTATCATGGATCTGGTACACTGCTACAGTTCTTTTTTCGTGCAGTTCCCAGTAGACTTCTATCTTGCCTTTTATTTCCTTGAAAGAAGAATCAAAGGTAAAAAGAAGTAAACAGCGAGTCCTGTGCTTCGTTCGCCCATTAAATAAGAAATCGTCATCCACTGCTTCTCTTTTGACTTTTCTTCCGTCCCAATGGTCGAACACATTCTTGTACACCTATTTTTTATGTCTATCTGACAAACTTGAACGAAGATTTAAAATATGTCGAAGTTGTATTTGCATCAGAAAGTTTGGTTCGTCTTACACGCATGGAAATGGTTATTTGAGTCCAGTCGAGAGATAATAAAGTGACCGATTTGGTTAAAAGCGCGACAAGTGAAATGAAGTTGGAGGTTTTTGGTCATTGAGTGTAACGGTACACACTGAACCGGCATCTTTTCAGAAGCGAACAATACGCCGAGAAAGATCTAAAATAATAATCGTTTAGTAATATTAACTTGTTAAATCGACCGTCGAACAGGGCGGGGTGAGAAAAAATTGGTGTTTCGGTAAAAAGAAGGAAATATGAGGGTCTTTACAATAAATTCTACTGACATGTATTTGTGTATATTGTTGTTTCTTACATTATATTGATATATTTAGATAAGACGTATTCTTTGGCTCTAGACTGTTCACGGCTTAGTCCGCTTCTCCGAATTCGCGAAGTTTCACATCGTGACTGACAATACACACTATGTCGCGCCCATGACTTACAATTTTGAAAATGTGTTAACTTGCAAAATTAAAAAAGGTAAGATAAATAAAGTTGCACATTCGAAAGATTGCAAAATACATTTTCAGAGAACGTTGAACACATATAATTGGAATATTGATTATCCATATTAGAAATAAGTTACAAAGCAAAACAGTAATTACTACTAAAGAAAATATTCGATAAACATTGGATCGCAAATAATAGGACGACGTTGAGTCTTCCCAACAGGTGTTGATGCACATACGTGTGGAGATAAAGCAGAGGTAAAAACAGCAGAAGGGTGATGAAGTAGGTATGGGATACATTTCTCAGTTTGTGAGATGGACCTATGAAAATGGATAAGGGGTTCAGAAACGAGGGCATTAGAGATTACACAGGCGTGTGCGATTATTAGAAAGACATTCGTGTTTTGTTTGAAATGTTAAAAATCCATGTTATTGATTACCTTCATCCAATGGCCCTTGATAATGCATTGAAAATCTCCGTGACACACGATTTCGAGTGACATATACATTGTTATCTACATTGACATCGAGTGACATTGTACATATGTGTCCGTTATTTTGCTTAGTGAAATATTGAATTTTTGCAATTCAATGTCTTTATTACGGAGATGAAGTTTAGTATCTCGCTAATCAACTGATCCGCTAAATGATGGAACGCATCTCACTTTGGTGTAATTGCTCATAAGTAACGAGTGTCTAAGAAGACTCAATCTGATCATAAAATTAGTACAATTATCGTGTTGTTGGTACTTTGAAAACGTCATCTCTGAAGTCAGCATGATTAATATTGATTATAAATCCAGGAGACCAACTTCTGAATTGAAAGACTTTAACACCGTTCATTAGATACATCGATAAAATATACTTGTGACTGGAAACGCACTTCAGTATTACATCCACGCGCCAGCATACATTTTCCTTAGTAAACATGAAATCAAATGTAATAAAACATAATGTTTAATAACATAATGGATACAAATGCGTGTAATTACAGTGCTACATTTTTTTAATGATTCGAACTTCAATATTCTGTGCGATTAGGACTGCTTGTATTATTATTTGAATTATTTTTAATACATGTCGTTAGAAGGGATTTTCTTCTAGGTATGAAATGATAAGTTGATTGATTTTTATTCTTACTGGGAGCGATTTAAGGAGCTCTGACGAAGGAGCCCAGAGCGATACGACCTCTGTAAATGAATCAGAATTGACATTTGCCCTTAATCCCGTCCTATATTCTTGTCAGAACTGCGGTCCTTTGATACTGTACGTTGCTTTTAATCCTCACAGGCTTGTGTGTGGTGTGAATCGCTGCTTCCACTGCACCGTTTCTGTCTTTGCGCTTGTGTTTTACCACCGCCATCACCACCGAAACCAGTGCCACTTTTTGCTATGTCTGCTAATACGAGTAATTAACTAGGTAGAACACATTACATATTTAGTCCCTCGGGCCATCTTATCTTTTTCGATGTGGACTGAGTACCCCCATGTCGGCGAACCAGTGGCAGTGGCAGTTGCAGTTTATTTTGCTTACTTTGTTTAGCACACACTTTAATTTTCCTTTGCCTCATATCTACATCACTTATAATTACATCTAATCATTACATTATAATCACTACATCACTTAACTCTTTTGACGTAATTTTACCCTCCTTTCCTATGGCAGACCTACAATGTGCCTGAGACCGAGTGGAAGAACACGTTTTTGTTTTAAATTATTGTAATTTATACACAGTAGGCCTATATACGAAAGTTTCAGATGTGACATCACAGAAATAAATTTTGTTTTGCAATGTCGCCCCAATGTCAACGACATTCTTTTTGGTTTAGACAATAGTTTCCTTGTATGAATTACGAAATACGACGCATTGATTGACGTTTATGTGACGTTATGTCTCGGTCTACAGGGAATGACTTCAACCTGTGAAATGGTATTCTAAACTTTACTGCGGATGTGTTGGTTAAAAAATTGAAAAGCTTCTTTCCAAAGTATTGTATTTTCAATTTTGTTTGTTTTTTAGTTTTATTTATCAAACTTTCAATAATTTTTTATCAATGTATCGTATTTAAGCATCAATTCTTAGAAGGCTTCTTCATCATTCTGCCAAATATGCAGTTCAAAAATTGCATTGTATATGATACGAGCAGAGTCTGGGATTTTGCAATGAGAACGCCAAAGACACTTTGTACGAGTTGCTTTATTTGGATTATTTGTGTACGCGAAGCGCATAAATGTTTAAGCCAAATTTCCTTACTTTTCAGGGCATAACTTTTCAAGTTTGCACAGTTGCGAAAAATCGGGATTTTATAATAATTCAATGAAAGTGGGATAAATTACCCCAGAGTTGATAACATGTCACCATGACCAAGCCGATATAATTATTGTCGTCAGTAACGAGATCTATTAAAATCGTGCTCTGAAAAGTATAAAATTTTCCTTAATCACTAATTCACTAAGCGTAGACTTCTTTGCCGTATGCGTACAGCAGAGTCTATTTTGCCATATGCCTACTGCAAAGAAATTTTCGAGTCAATAGACAGGGAAAATAACCTCAAATTTCCATGCCTGTGTGCTAAAAATTGTATTTTTTTGAAGATACATCACTTTGAAAATAAGCTTTTCAGTTGGGGTGAGGAACCACATCTCACGGATGTGGCTGGTTTCAGTATTCGGCAAGTAGCAAGCGACCGCTCGCCGAATCCCGAGTGGTGTGGATGGGTTGCTTGCTATTTGTCGAGCGACTAACGTTCTGTGCTTGCCCCACCCACCGCGTGTCGGTGTTTTGCACACATCAAAGGAACCGAACATTCGCCGAGCACATCAGCTACTCGGGATTGAGCGACAATCGCTCGCTACTCGGCAAATGTCAAATGTGAGGACCCACCTTAAGACCCATCTCGATCACATTTTTCGTCCAGTTTCCCTGATCCTTTGCAGTGGCGTAACATTCGGGTCCGCAGGCACGCAATATGGGCGGGCTCAGGAAAAGGTGGGCCTATGTTTAGGAAATATATTTTTTTAAGGTACCAACATTACTTGTGTTTGCACTTTTATGAAGGGGGCCTGAATAAAAGTTTTGCGGGTGGGCCCACACTCATTTCTTTACGCTACTGAGCAAATGCTGATACGGCCCCTTGTTTTGCCTCTGGACATACACTTCATGTAACTTCATTATCTGTGCACGTCTTCTAGAGTTCAATGGGAAATATAATTATTCAAATTATCGTTCTGCATGTTGTCGCGGCAGGAAGTATATTCCTTCAGGAAGGTCATGAGGGCCAAGATCCCAAATCTACAACTGATTTGCCCTTGAAAATAGACTTTATTGCATCGCAGGGAATGCTTTGTTCACAATTCTGGCCAAAAACGCTCATTTCTTTCTTTATTCTAAATCCAACTTGTAAATGGCGTATGACAGGGACCCCCGAATTAAGAAAACTGTCTCAGAATAAATATTTCGCCCCGCAGCACGCCACATACTGTTTTTGGCGTAAAATAAATAATTAATAAGAAGACCCTTGCGTGTGCGCTTGCAGAAGTTGAGTGCGGCGGTGCGGCCGCGCGTGCCGGAGTGCGAGGTGTGCGGGCGCGGGGGCGCGGGCGGCGGCGCGGGCGACGGCGGCGGCGGCGAGGGCGACGCCAAGTGGCCGGCAACGAACGGGCCCGGCTCGCCGCCCCCGCACCACCACCACCATCACCACGACGAGGACGGCGACGGCGACGCGGAAGCTTGCGCGCGCGAGCTCTCCACGCTCATCACCGAGAAGGAGCCCTCCTCCCTCGGCCCGCTCCAGCCCCCCACCCCGGTCCCCGTCCACGCCTCGCCCCCGCCCGCCTGACCCCGCCACGCCACGCTCCAGGCGCACAGGGTGCGAGCGCTGCCTGCCTACCTGCCTGCAATACTCAGCCGCTGCGGCGATTATGTTTTGTAAATACAGTGTATCTTGTTAACCGTACGTAATGGTCTTTGGTTTCTTTCATCCCTTTCCCGCCTTAGTATCCTGAAACGTCAGGAGTCGCATGAAGCGGAAAGAAGGGTACCAAGTATTCACCAGAAGGGGGGGGGGCGGAGGGGGGCATTTTCCTCTTTCCGAATGAAATAGTAAAGACGTTTTCCCAACTAGAAAAAAATTGATTGAAACTGACAGGAGAGGGGGAAAAACATACAAAATACCCAGTTAATTAAAACAACTACGGCATTTTTGTAATTACGTCACAAATAGGAACCTGTAAATTCATTGGTTTTGCTGGTATTGTTGTTATCCATGCTACCCAAATGATAAGTCCTTCGTTTTTAATTTTTGCCTCCTTTTCTAGACAGTGTTTTTCTGAAGAACTGCTATGAGTTGCCTACGATTTTGAACTCCAGGGGGGCATCTATCATGAAATGTCTCAAACATTTTTGCTTATCAGACTCATTTAATACCATTACTCATTTCTCCCTTCATGTCACATCAGTTTCCTGACATTGATTTTTAAGCCAAATTCATCCATTAAAGTTTTTGATTGTTCTGGGAACTTTCTACATGAAATGCTGTTTTAATGAAACCTCAATTTTCACATCTGATCCTTTCACATATCATTTCATACAGCTCTGACAGAAGTAATAATAATCTTTTGCAGTAATGATTTAATATTTTTTGCACTTAACGTATCTTTGTATGACCTATGATGCAGAAGAAATACAACAATGCCCCATATTTGATGCTAGGTGCTTGACAGACATTATTCCATAATTTAATACAGTAATATTTATCTCCATCACCAAATCTCAATTTACCTGACGCTCAGCACATAGCACTGAATTTCAAACTAGTTATTTTAAATATTTCTTGACGGTAATGAATTTTTACAATGAACCATCAAATGTTTATTCATAACATTGTTTTTTTTCCTCTCAGCAATATTTTGTTTTCATATTTAGTTTATTATTTCATAGAATCATAGTTTTAATGTTTAAAGGATGAAGAAAAACAATAGATAATTGAACAGCATCACATTGCAAAGACTTCTGTGAGTGATCTTTGAAAGTATGTTCAAAAGTTCTACATTATCCAAAGACTGTCAAATAGTTAACAATGACATAAATGTAGAAACATTACTTAATTTTGAAAGCTACAAACAGTCTAAAGAGGCCTTGTTACATTAAGAAATGAAGGAAAATACACACGCACAGTGCAACACACTAAAAAGAAGCAGAATAGCAATTTTTTTAACTTGGCAATTCCCACAATTCACCTACACTGACATGAAAACATTACAATAAATGTATGTTGATCTTTCATCGTGCATAACATAGTGAAACTCATGAACACTAATACTATTAATAATAAAGTTTATCACAGTTTCACATATGGTTGGAACACAGTGAAACACAAAAATTGGACATTGTCAAGAGTATTTATTAGGATTCCCATTCAATTTGAACAACAAACTTTCATTCTTTATAAAACTTTTCAAAATTTGTTCTATTAGAAATAAATATATACAATAAATCCAAATAAAATAAATAAATTATACAAGCAAAAGCAACTCTTTTATTTGTCACATAAATAATCATGTACAAAATATTCAAAACAATTTCAGGATCAGGATCCGACTAATTCCATTAGTAATCACAGAAGTTATATTTGAGGACATTTGTTTACACATATCTCAAAAGAGAGTGATGCATTTTTTCCCACACTAGAATATTATTTCATTGCATTATTACACAGTGATAGAGGAACAATAGAACAGATGCAAATCAAAAAGTTTTAAAAATAATTTTACACAAAAAACAATTACAAAGGTCCGACACAGAAGGAAAAATTAATAAGAGTAAATGAACAAATGAACAGAACAGATATATTGGCACAAATGTTGTACTGAATTTACTACCTCAGTAATTTCCGTAGATAGTTACATACTGAAGGTTGATCAAAATCATATTCTTTACAACATATGAATTATTTATTACCCTACCTATACTGAAATTTGTTCATAAGATTACTCTTAGAGCTGATTGTATGTTACAAACGCAAGTGATACAGGTGGAGGGAAAGAAGATTTTTGTTTGTAAATTCCTAAAACTCTGAGCTGTATAACAACAAAATAGAAATCAAAGACCACATTTTATTTGATTTCCCCTCCTGGAATACTTCTTTTGGGGGTTTCACAAAAGTTCATTTGCAAAATGCACATATAGCCAACAGGCACAAAGGAAGGGATTTATATCTCTTAAGAACAAAAATCACAGTCAAATCTGCAGAGGCAGTAACTGCCATGAAGAAAAGAAAATGAGGAGAACAAAAGAGTGAAAGAACAATCATCAACCTTTAATGACTGCAATGGGGCGCAGTTTGATGCATTTCTTGCTAATCCCAGCAGCATGACACGTGTCAACAACGTCAGTCACATTCTTATAAGATTCTGGGGCTTCTTCCATGACCAATTTGGGTGAAGCAACACGGATTGATATCCCCATTTCTTCAAGTTTATTCAGCACATCTTGGTAATCAAGGTTACGCCGAGATTTGGCACGAGACAGTGCACGACCCTGCATATGCACAAAAAACAAACCATCTGAATGGCAAAAACAAACATCATTGAATTTTTAAATACTTCTCCAGGCAATAAACAAAACATGTTTTAAGATAAAAGAAAGTTAAATAATTTTGTACATAATCAGCTGACTTAAGTCAAGTAAATATGAAGCATGCAGTCTAGAAAATAACATGTAATTGCATGTTAAGGCAACACACTATAAGAAGAGTTAATGCAACTTGTGTGAAAATTTCCTGGAGGATAGCCAATGTTAATCAGGTGAATAGCTACATCAGCCTTGTGGCCCATTTATTTGTCGTAACATCCAATTAAAACAGTTTGAAGAGCAGCTACTGTTTTCACTACTATGTTAAACACACCTACAAAAGTAAATTAGAGATGGCATTTAATACCAACTCTGCAAGGCATAATTCCTCCAAGAAGTCTAGTAATGATTTACTAAACATTTCTGTAAATCTAGATTAAATAATCAAACTGACAAAAAATTAAGTTAATACATTGAGAAATTAATTACTACTGCTTTTATGCCTACTAATACTCAACTTATTCAAACATATTTACTTTTATTCATCCTTGTCTCAAAAAATAAAATTTAATTTCACAAAAAATTTAAAAAATTAAATTATTTTAAAGTTATTTTAATAAATTCTTTAAGAGTGTTTAAAAAAGCTCAAGTATATTTTAAAATATTTTAGCAATTATGGTGTCATCATTTTGCCAACAGAAAAAGTAGTAAGGGTTGTATAACTGCAAGACATCCGAAAAAGTATTGTAGAGAAAGGTTTAGTTCCCTACATATTTCATACATTCTTACTGAGATGAGATAGTTTTGATGAGGATCCTAGTGACTCACAGTTCAACAGAGAAATAAATTTACGTCCACTTTTCATTGAAATCATTGAATCTCAACAATCAAATGACAAATTTAAGAAGAAAATACTCACAGCGCCATGGCATGTCGATCCAAACGTCTCCTGCATGCCTTGCTCTGTTCCTGTCAGAACGTAACTGCATGTACCCATAGTCCCTCCAATCAGCACAGGCTGCCCCGTCAACTGGTAGTCCACCGGAATCAGAGGGTGATGAGGAGGGAACGCTCGGGTGGAACCCTGAAAACAACAAATTCACAAAATTATTCAAGAAAGGCAAAACTGGCAATTAACATTTGTGCAAAAGCCTTAAAGGCTAGTGTTAACAGCCTCTACTCATTTTTTTTGAGCCAATAATTACAATTTTGCACCATTCAGATTTAATTTTCATTCATTTATTTACCTTGCGATGTACTAAGAGAGTACGCTGCTTGCCATCCACCATGTGTTCTTCCACCTTGGCAATGTTGTGTGACACATCATAAATGACATGCATGTCAAGATCATCAGGAGTCATTCGGAACTGCTTTGCAAAAGCCTTAGTAAAAGAAAACAATACTTTCATTATTTACTTTTCACTTTTTAATGGACAGTACAGAAAGGAATCTGCTTTAAAAGAAATAATGCAGACACAATTTAGTTCTTTGATTTTTTTAAAACTTTCAGTGTGATAACCAACTGGCAAGCAGACTGAGAAAGAAAAAAGAAATTTGTAACGATCCTAAGACAGTAATGGATATTGAAACTAAGTAGAAATGGTTGTATCACTTGTTTGCCTTACTTAAAAAATCAGTTATGTTCAATGGATTGGCTATGGAGTTAACTGGGAGTATTATTTCCATTTTTTTGATAAGTCAAAAAGGGTAAGTTAAGTTGATAATAAATAATGACCCATTGCTTTTGGCCATCACATAACACAAACCTGTCTGCTAAGGAATGTCATAGAGCTTCGATTGACCCATGCAAAGTTAGCAGCAGCTGCCATAGCTTTGAGGTAGTCTTGTCCTTCTGTGGAGTGGATGTGGGCACAGGCCAATTGGCGATCATTGGTATCAATGTTATCTCTCTTCATGGCTTTTTCCATCTGCACCAGAGCATCTGTAGAAATGAAAAATGAACAAAATTAACTGTATCAAATTTTCAGATAAATTTACTTGAAACTTTGGTACAAAATTTGATACAAAAAGGTTACACAGTGAAATCTTGACAAATCAAATTAGAGAGAAAAAAGAAAAAAGTCTACATGTATTGATTATTTAGATAAATTGATGTTTGTATTTAAAAAGAATACAAGATTAAAATAATTCCCTCATTTTTGCAAAGAACATAATTTCCACAGGAGTAACCTGAGATATAAGAGCAAGGTGAACATTATAGAGATGATTAAAAAGTAGACACGTTGGTGAACTGTAAGATGTGCAAATTATGAAAAACATAACTAATACACTTAAAAATACAAATACTATTCCAGTATGCTCATCTGTAAATAACAATGACATCATATGGAGACATTTGAGGGGGGAGGGGGGGAAAGAAAAAAGGAATTTATTTAAATGAAGTAAATCCTTTAGCACTTACCAGTAGCTACTTGATGGCCAAATCCACGACTTCCAGAATGAATCATGACACATATTTGTCCCTTCATCTCAATTCCCATCTTACTGGCAGCCCATTTGTCATAGATCTCATCTACTACTTGAATCTCAGCATAATGATTTCCTGCACCTAATGTCCCCAACTGAGGTAATCCACGCTTCTTTGCCCGCATGCTAACTTTGGACGGATCTGCATTCAGCATGCGACCATATTCCTCACAATGCTCTTTGTCCTCAGCCCAAATGTAACCTGAACAGGCAAAAGCTCATTATATAAATGCTCATTATATCAATGAAATTTGATTCTTTAACATTGTAAGAGTACATAAACATTTGAAAGCTTCTACAGTACAATCAATTAAAATAGTAGATTTGCTACTACTAAGTACGTTTTTAAACAGATCTTCAAAATAATTTCCAGAAAAAATGGATGGCATACACCAACAAATATGATATTTTAATTTCATTCAGACACACCTTCTCGAAGAGACCAATCCATGCCCATTTCCAGTGCTTCTTCCATGTCACGGGCATTCATAGGGATAATACCTTTTGAACCCACACCAACAGGAATGTGATCAAACATACTCTGGGCCAATTGTTCCTGAAAATGTAGACACATATCACAAGTTGATTAGATAAACAAAAAGTATGTAAAGAAACGTCAACCCTCTTAAAACCCAGTAATGTTCAAGATATTTTTGGAGTGGTACATTTGTCTGACACAATAAAAAATGGAATAAAAACACTGAGGATATAATATAAATTACTACTACTTTAAATATTTTTGGATTGAGAATGTTACAAAATATATTAATTAAATGCAGCTCCTTGTCACCACCTTTACTGGTAGAACATCCTTCTCGTGCAGATTTGTTCTTAAGAGTCTCACACCACAGTTTATATCAAAGCCTACCCCACCAGGAGAAACGACAGATTTGGGATCTCCCATGTCAAATGCAGCCATATTACCTGAAGGAGAACATTTGAGAAATAAATTGTCATAATCTTGTTTTAAATATTACAAGTTGACAAAAATGGAAAAATAAATAAATAAAAAACATTTACCAATGGCAAACCCATACCCAGAATGTACATCTGGTAATCCTACTGATCGACCCACAATGCCTGGCAAAGCTGCCACATTAGCTATTTGTTTCACACCAGGTAGGAAGCCTCCAACCATGCCAGGTCGACATGCATTGCGAAGCTCGTCCAACATGAGCTTTTCAAGATGATTGTTCACATAGAAGACACCTTCTACCTACAGTGATAGTAAATGATTTAATAAACCGGTTTAATAAACAATCAACACTAAAAACAAAGGTAGCTATATTACGTTCGTATGATCAAATAAATAAACAACCGAATGAAATGTTCCAACATGTTGCAACACACTCACATTCATATTTGGTTGGAAGCCCTTTTTAATCCTCCAACAATTTGGAGTGATTTTTTCCAAGTATTTCAGCTCATCATTGTACGATCGCACAACCATTTTTTTCAATGAATAGCACTACAGCTACACACTAAAGTTACGTTCTATTAAAACTCAATGTTCACGGAGAAGAGGTTAGAACTCAACTTGCTGACAAGCCTGATTCCTGACATTCGCCGATCGGTTTCGATTCGCCGGCAACTTGCAATTAAAAGAGGGATGCTGGTTGCATCAATGATGCCAACATGACAGTAGATCTGCAGTAGACCCAGCTTCAATTATTTTTCTGTAATTCGTAAAACTCAAGTTTGAATAATGTTTTGTGTTTTTTTAAGTAACGAGGAATAATTTTAGCTGTAATAACAGACAATATATTAATTGTTTCCCTTTCACAGTAGGAGTTAATTTGTGCGGAAGTTTTCTGTGGAGTGAAATATCTCTATTAGAAAATTGGTTGAATTATTTTATCTTCCAAAGAGTAAAGGGGCGTCAATGATCATGTGTTGGGGTTGATCGCAAGCCTATTTTGTAGTCTGACAGCTAATCAAGAAACGTCAAGAAAGAAAACTTGCCATGGCATCACATTTGTCAGGAGGCAAAGTTAACATTGCTTTAGTTCAGGAATTGGCTAAAAATGAACTATTGAAGCTTCTGGAGAATATACCTGGGCGAAAGGTAATGAGCAATGTCATAAGATTGTCACTTATTATATTCTTCATTATATTGACTTTCATTTCATATTTTGGTAGGTAATAGTGTGGGATAAAACTCTGGCGGGCCCAGTGGGGCTTATTGCGAAGTTTTCGCTGTTACAAGAACGAGAAGTAGTACATTTATATCCATTGGAATCAGGCGTTCTGAAGAACAACAGTGTCAACAAAGTAATTTTTATCACCCGGCCAGATCTCCGTCTCATGGACATTGTGGCGGAAAATGTGCATGGGTAGGCGAATCTTTAGTATTGTTTTATTTGTTTTGAACATCAAACATGAAGAGGTCTATATTATTATTTGTGTATCTTAGTGTAATTAGAAATAGCGCTGTGTGTGATTTTAAATAAAAATAGTAGGTGTCTGGAATTAAATTCATAAATTTACTCTGCTAACAAGTTCAAAGTATCAGAAATTTAATTTTTTAGAGATTTCAGCAATAAAACAATTGTCTTCTGTTCTAGGTCTAAATAATTTTATAACAGATAATATTTGGGTCATGAATGGGGTGAGGGTACAAGAAATCACAAAGTATTTTATTGGCCAGGATTTGTTCACTAAAGTAGTTTTGTGTTACAATGATGATCTGTTGCTAAGCATTGGTTTAATCATAAATTTTATTCATTGTATGGATTTAGTTATGCCACTAGAGAACGGAGAAAGAAGGGGTAGAGAAATATGCATTCATAAATACAGCTGAGCACAGCAAAATGACATGACGTTGACTGCTGTCCTTTTGGGTTTTGCTGCTGCAATAATTCTCAATGCAGGAAGTGTTTTCATGATGATCCGCTCTGCTGTAGGTGATCTGAGACATGCACCGAGTCATCAATGTTGCCATTGTATTCCTAATGAACATCCAATGTCTTTGTGTTCAGCTTGCAATATACTGGGATGTGAAGCCACAGATGATACTGCAGCCATCACAAAAGCATATTGTAGAGCTATGAAAGTCAATAGTGCATTATCTCAGCAATCCCCAGAAATAAGGCAAAAACTAATGGTTGCATATGAGATTCTACTAAAGAACGCAAGCAGCCAGTACAATAATCTTTTTCTGCCTTCTATAGGTTCTTCGGAGAGGAAGACTAGTGGCAAAATTTGCAGTAAAGTTCAGGATATCATTGAAAGTTCTAATGAATTTGAATCATGGTCATTGTAAAAATTAGGACGAGCCCAATGTAATGTAGCTGAAGATGATAATAAATTATATTATTATAATTTGTATTTATTTTTTTAAAAGTATGTTTAACATGTTATAAGGAAATCATTAAGACAGAAAGTAAATCAATAATCTTCTCTATTATATCTGAGTAAAACATAATTTATTTTATTGTTTTTGAGAACATAAAAATCAGTGTTATTCCCCAGATAATACAAAAATTTTAATACACCATTAAGAATGCTGTTACACTGCTAATCTAAGTTACAATTATCACAAGGTGTCAATTTGTTTACATCTCTTTGACATTTGTATTGAAACAATGAAAGACGTGTTTAATTTGAACAACCTTGCTATATTGGATACTTCATTTTAAGTTTTTGCTTTTGTATTGGTAATGTTTAAAATAATGAGTGAATTCAAAAGTAAATAGATTTTGTTCACACCTTAGTATTAGTCTCGTCAACTTCTTCAGTTGCTTTTGTAGTCAAATTTTCTCATTTATGAATTAAATTGTATTTTGGACCCTTTGTCATTCTTGTGCCATAAATTACTACAAGGAGGTTAGAAGAAAAATAAATAATAAGTTCCTGATCAAATGTGTGAATGCTTTATGGAAATGACAACTAAGTTGTGATTGTTGAACATGTGTTTGTTGTGCATTGAACATGTTGAACATGTGTCCATTCTCTTTGGTATTGACGTTGCATTAGTCTGTTACCAGTGCAGCCTCCTCCCCCTTTTTTTGTTGTATTTTTGCCATTGTGTATTTGAACATTTTGTATTTTGTTATTTCATGAACCTTTTTTTCTTTTGCATGTTCGTTTCAGTGTTGCACGTGGAAAATCAGCAAAAGAGTTATCATATAGTAAAGACTACGGCAGTCAGGGTGGCTATGAATTCCATTTGGTATTTGTGCCTCGTAAAAGCTTACTGTGTGAGAAACGCCTCAAGGTGAGCATTATATGTACTAATACAAGTATTTTCTGTTAAATGTTACTTTCTTTCATTCTTGATCATTATTGTACTGATTCTGTTTTGAATAAAAGACCATTATTTGAATTATATAATTGTTTCCAAATAGGTTAGTTTGTGCAGGGCAGGTAAAATTTAGAAACAGTGAGTGCTACCTTCTCTAGAAGTGCATCCTGAGATAATGAGTCTATCCTGTCTCTAGCAGATGGGCGGGTCTCATATATGGCCTGGGATAGTTTGATGTCGCTATCTGATTACTATTGCTAGAATTAATTTTAACCACTCTGTCTTTTAAGAGGATGACTTGACATAGCTTCATAAAAAGATAGGGTTGCTCACTCTGGTGCTAACCACCTTCCATGATTTTTCAAATATATTAAATCTTATAATTCAAAGAATTAGCATGTAATAATTAGTATTATTTAATTGAGTTTCTATTGTCCATGTTGCTGAGTTGAAATAATCTAATATGATCATATCTGAATAATAAACAGTGAATATATACCATCAGTGAGATGTAGATTATGATTTTGCCTTCATCTTGTTAAGTTATGTGAAATATGATAACGAATGAAGAATATAAAAAAAATCAGTTTGGATCGATAAATATACAAAGGGTGCCAAAACAATGTATACACACTTCAAACAAATAAAAATATGCCTTAACATAACAAAGCTAAATTTACACAAACAAATAATGATGAGCACTTTTACAGGTACAACCATTACATCAGATGGTCCAAATGCCCACTATCAACGTTGATACACTTAACTGTAGAAAATCAGCTACACTGGCAGTGCTTTGGGAATAAATTGAAATGGTGTGTACAGAAATTGCTGAGAACACTTTTCAAAATGTTTCTGGAAAAGTCATTCAACCTCTCAGAAGTGTATTGATGCTGATAGAGTTTTGAAGTATCCGTGGTAAAGGTTCTATCTGTAAAAGTCTTAGATGGTTTGTGCTTATCATTTTCTGTTTGTGTGAATTCAGATTTGTAATGCTAAGATAGTTTTTTTTATTTGCTTGAGATGTGTACATTTTTGGCACCATCTGTAAATTGAAAGGTGATTTACATTTGACTACATTCTTTGTATTCTGCATAATTTCTTATTAATGTTTGTGCTTGTAGAATCGAGGTGTATTTGGAAGCTTCATGCAAGTACAAGAGTTGCCTTGCGACCTGTTTCCATTTGACAATGATTTGCTGTCAATGGAGCTGGAGAGTGCATTTAAGGTGAGTGGTGATATAGTGTAGTATTTTTAAAATTCTCAACTCATTCATTGCTTTTATATCAAATTACTTAATGACTATACCAGGTTGAAGGAAGCTGCATGTAAAGCACTTAAAAGGTTCATGAGAATGGAAAGTAATTGTCATAATTACTTAAATAGGCAAATTAATAAATTAATATATTTATATAAAAATAAATTTATCTTAAATTTTGATGTTATCACATGAAAACTTCTCATCTAAATGTACACTCCATTCCCAAATTTTACCAAAGATCCAGAAAGTACTGTGAAGTTTTATTAATAATTATAAAAGTAATGATTTGTATTTTGGTAACATAATATTCCAATAACATATAAGTAGTGAAATGGCAAATAATATTTAAACTAATTATGAATTATTCTATAGAAGGAAGCAGAAGTTATTTTACAATTGAAAAAAGAACAGTAATAATGGGTAGTTTCAAAATACAAGATGATGAGGTGCTTGAGATGCATTTAAATAGAAATGTAACTTAATGAAATGTTTCTTTGTGCAGGAGTTTCGCCTTGAGGGCGACCCCACCTGCCTCTTCCAGGTAGCCCAGGCCTTGGGCACTCTGCAAGGTCTCTTTGGCACCATCCCCCGTGTCTCTGGCAAGGGTCATGCTGCTCGCCACGTGTGGGAGTTGATGGCGCGCATGGCTAGGGAGCAGGCTGGCTGTCCACGGCCTATGCCCACGGGGGCGCCTGCCATTGACCACTTGCTGCTGCTGGATCGCAGCGTGGACCTGCTCAGCCCTCTGGCCACCCAACTGACGTATGAGGGACTCATTGACGAGATATTTGGCATTCACAATTGTGAGTTTGAGTAAATTATCATAATATTAGAACATTATTACAAGATGAGGTTGTTAAAAGATTACATGATTATTAATTTAACTATTTCTTAAACAGTATTATTTGAAATAAATATAATGTAGTGTAATAAAAATAACAAAACTAAAATAAAAATATATTTCTTAGGCACTGTTCAGCTGCCTGCTGAAAAACTGGCTAAGCCAGATGATTCTCTCCCAGTAAATGCTGGAGAAAAGAAGGCTGTGATTCTAAACTCCGGGGAAGAGTTATTTGCTGAAATTCGTGATCGTAACTTTAACGCTGTTGGTCCAGCACTTAGTAGAAAAGCCAAGCTAATTTCAGCACAGTTAGAGGAACGTCATGGTGATAAAACCATGCAAGAAATGAAGCAGTTCGTAGCAAGGCTTCCTCATATGTTAGCAATGAAAAACTCTTTGGCAAATCGTAAGTTGAGTTTTCATTTCTGAAATTATTTTCATTGTTCATGGAAATACTTTTAAAGCATATATTTTCTCATGTGCAGTCTAATGGAGTTGTTTATTGTGTTTTTGCCTGAATAGATACCACAATTGCTGAACTCATTAAAGAAGTGACAGATTCTAGTGGTTTTCTTGAATCATTGCAAGTGGAACAGGAATTTATGAATGGAATTGACACAGACAAAGTACATCCCTATATTGATGATCTTATTGCACAACAAGAACCTTTGCTTAAGGTATGTCAGAAAAAAAAAAAGATTATTATTTTCAAATAGGTAAAGTATATTACAGTTGCATATGTATGATTATTCTAATTCAATTGTATTCTTTCATGGGATTTTACAATGTATTTATCAGGGTTTCTTCTCATTAACAGAAGTTTTGAGAAGAATGGGAGGACATAATATATGCTAATTTTCAGTCTTAATATACTAATTCATGGTGATGTGAGCAATCATGTTTTGTGAAATAGAGCAGTAATAATTTTGATTATTCCTACAGATTCTGCGTTTGGTGTGCATGCAGTCAGTGACAAACAGTGGTCTTAAGGCGAAAGTCTTAGAGCATTATCGCCGGGAAATTGTCCATGCTTATGGCTTTGCTCAATTATTAACATTAGGAGCCTTGGAAAAAGCAGGACTCTTAACACCTCAGTCTGGACCAAGGCAGTACACAGTGAGTTATGATATCTTTTTGAATGTGTTTTAAGATTGTGTTTTTTGTATTAAGATTTCAAAAACTATCTGAAAATTTATCCTTTGAGAGCATTTTTATGCTGTTACTTGGCAAAAAGTACTTTAATTTTCAACAATTGTGTGTGTGTTGCTACCTTGATTTATACTTTATGGGGTTTATATAATTATATTCAGGGTGATTCAATGACTGAGGGCTATTGAAAACCGACTCAAGTGTCAGTCTGTTCAGAGACAGAACAAGAAAACTTTTTTTTAATTCTAAGAGATTTAGGCATGAATCAGTAGTTGAACTTACCTCATTGTATACTGCACCATGTAATATCTTCGGCACGGGGCACAAACAGCACAATCATCAGCAGAGTGCATTTCAAAACAGTGCAGTTCAATGTGCCCAAAAACTCATATCTTTTTCTACTTTTTTATGAGCATAATTTAGGATGGAAAATAAGAATAAAGCAGGATCTTTATGACTTTGCGAAGAAAAAGGGATATCTTAACCATGCAACAAAAATATACAAGTTGAAAAGACACTTAATATATGAAACATCAATCTACAATAATTAGAGATGATCTCTTGCACAAGAGGGAGATTGCTGTCGTGTATTCCTCTAATGGTGCTACTAATGCCAAATTTATTTGATGACAACCGCAGGTGTTAGATGTGATGAGAGGGAGAGATCTGAACCACTAAGTGCAATGTCAGGTTGGAACATTGATAGGTCTTTTCTCTCAACTGAATAGGAGTCTTGGCGTATCATAGTAACTTTGTGAATAAAAGAATATTTACCAAAAGTGTGTTGAAACAAGTCAAAAAAAAGTAAATAAGTAAATTAATAAGTAAATAAAATAAATAAATTAATTAAATAAATTAATAAATTAAATAAATAAATTCTGTTATCAGGGCATGAAAACTTGTAGTTCTCAAATGTTGCTTACCATGCTTGTTGGTAACTTTATTCATAATTCAATGGTGTGTACAAAGTGTCTCAGCATAAAGATTAAAAACTTCAAGGGCATGTAGGGGGATTAAAAATTATCACTTTTTGCCAATGAACATGTTGAGGGGGATTTCATAATAAAGTTACACTTGTAACATTTACCCCTGATTAGTTGGCTCATCTCTAACTGTGATTTGTAGTCTCTTTGAATGCATTAGTCAAATTAACCTGCCAAATTCCAGTGCTCACTGAGTTCACTATCTATCGCAGGCCTGTGTCACATATGCAACTTGTTACATGAAATCTCCCACGATATACTCATTGGCAAAAGTCTTCGACCCTCCTGCATGTCGTAGAGTTTATTACATTTATTCCAAAACACTCCGCAGAAAAACGAGTGGAATAAACTTTCTGGGGGCTCACGGAAAAGTGCGTAGATTGAATTTCTCTCTAATAAAAAATGAATGAATGTTTAGGTACTGCGCAAGGCGCTGCGCCTTACGGTGGAGGACGCGAGCGAGACGGCGCCCACGGACATCGCGTTCGTGCACAGCGTGTACGCGCCGCTGAGCGCCCGCCTGGCACAGGCGCTGGCGCGGCCGCAGGGCTGGAGGGCGCTGCAGGACGTGCTGGGGCTGCTGCCGGGCCCCACGGTGGACGAGGTGCAGCTGCCCGGCGGCGGCCCGGCCCCCGCGCCCGTCCCCGCCGCGCCCGCACCAGGTGGGTTCCCCCCACCCCCACCCGCACCCCCCTGTTTGCTTCCTTCTGCCCACGAGGTGGCGAGGCGCTCGGCGAACGATCGCTTCCTTAAGGCGGCTCCACCCACACATTTGGTATTGGGCGAGTAGCGAGCGACCGCTCCCCAATCCCCAGTAGAGTGGATCGGATGCTTGCTGTTTGTCGAGCGACGAACATTCGGTGCTCACTCTACCCAACACGTGTCGGTATTTTAGTCCTCTCAAAGAAAGCGAACATTCGCCGAGCACATCAGCCGTTGGGGATTGGGCGAGCGGTAGCTCGCCGTTCGGAGAATGCCACCAAAATGACTGATACGCTCCAGGCAGGGCCAGCACTTGGAGTTTCTTGTTACATTGGACTTTAGGTTGTTTTTAACCGTTAACGTTAGCCGTTTCCGTTAAGTGTAAAAACTCCAATATTTGGCATTCGACATATAGCAAGCAACCCATTCCCCACAACACGAGATGCGGTGAGCGAGGGCTCATGTAGAGCAGTCTTTCTACAAACTGGATGTACCTGTATTTTCTAATCATGCATTGAATGATTTGAAGAGTTGTCCTGAAATGCTTGTCGCCATCTCTAGTATCAGGGACGTCGCATGGACCTTAAAGAGAGTGGAAAAGAAATCCCATTATTAATATTAGGTTTTTCACGTAGTCAGTTCATATGAGAGTGTGATAAGAGTTATAAAACATGAGAAGAATGCCGCGATGCGATCATTGTACGTTATTTCTCTTTTCTTTTCCAAACACGACGTTGTCGGATAATCACATTACTCATGTCGCGAAAGTCTGACTTCACATCTTGTGTGATTCGTCTAAAAAACAGAATTCTATCTTGAGCCAATTTGCGATGATTATGTCTGCAATGATTCTTTCTCAACGACTTTGGATGTTGCTAATATCTATATTACTAATTTTCAATGCACAGAAATTGAAAGAAAACTATGCAACCTCTGGCCATGTAAGATGTCGTTGGTTTTATTAGATATGAATTCGGAGGAATATCAAAAACATTGAAAGAGGAGAGATTTCGATTTTAATTGAAGAATTCAAACATTTAATTGCGTTATTCCTCCTATTATCGTACTGTGCGCACCTATATTATTCTCATACTCAGTGAATCATTGCTTACGATGCAGTTGTGGTCCTGCGACAGCAAAGCTCCAAGCAAGAGACCATCCACCATTGTTTATTTGCTCATAATTTGTTGCATTATGGATCGAAAGCTTATTTTTATATTTTTGGTATGTGAAGAATTGTTGTACTGTGTATATATTAAACTATGTAGTTATTGCACTATTTGTGAAGGCTGTCTTTTAAAAATATTTTAATAATTTGCAAAAACAATAGTGCTATCGTTTTAAACAAGAGTATTCTATTTGTTATTGAGCAGTGCTACATTTTGGAATACCATTTTGTGTGGTTTTGTTGAGCAGCATTTTTGCTGCTGCAGGCCACTATAGTTTGCAATGTATTGTTCCTAGCGACTTTCGTGGGAAAGGAATCTAAATCAGGACTTTTGAGGGATCAGGAATTTGGACCACTTACAGCACTCTGGAGGGTGTTGACCTTCCTACGCGCTTTCAGGTAGAAGACGCGTCAGTTTTCTTTTTCCTTTTTGTTACCGCGCAGAGCTAGATGAGAACCCCTGGTGCTTGCGTCGAGGAATCTCGAAGGCGAGATCGTTTTCGCTTTCTTCTGCTTCTGATGACATTGCGTGGACCGGCTTTAGCGCCTCCTAAACGGAACACGTGCCGCAAGTTGCGACTATCACTGCGCCCAGCCCCAGCCCCAGCCCCTGGCCCGCCCCCCTGGCCTGCCCGCCCTGTCAACGTTTGGTGACGAGGAATGAACATCAGGATGACTAATGGATAATACACCTACAATGGATGAGTCAGTTTTCGTATCAACCACTTTGTATTCAACTTTCACAGAACTTTTTCATTTTATCTTTCACTTATATTCATTCCATCTCCGAGCTAAAGATACTGATACATTGGCTCATTCTCATCACGGACTACATTGCTGGAAATTTCGTAATTGGCATTACTATTGTCTCTCGTCGTTACCAACTAATTTTGACTCGCCGCCAGGGGCCGACAAAGCAACGGTCGCTCTCTGATTTATCCATTACTTGGTGCGTAGTTGACCCGAACGTGGGACCTGACGAAAATCCTGCCATCAGCTGAACTCGAACCCTAGGACCTCCCGGTCAGAGACAACTGCATTGACATCAATTGAAGCCATGAGCCCTCTCTCCCGGCCCCTTTCCTGAAATATTACACTGCGAAGGACACCCTTCCAAACATACCATGCACATGTTTGTTTTTCCTGCGGGGGCTAATTACTTTTCTTTTCGCGACCTGGCTGCCTCTTCAGAGGGAATCTTTCCTCCGAGGATGGGAGCCGTGCGGACGATCCACTTCTCACACGTTTTCACCGCGCTGGCCCAACGCCTCCCCGCCTCTCTCGTGAGTTTTTCCGAGGGCGAATGTGATCCCGAAGCAGACCCCGCGAAGGTTGCGGGGAGGGGGCGGCACGCGCCCTCCGCCGCGAGTCCCCCCGTGCGTGCCCAGAGGTTGTCTGCGGCGCCCGGTCGACACCTGCTTTCGCCGTGGAAGCAAACGCGACAGGAAGTGGTGCAAACCGGGGACACGCGCGTGCCCTCTGAGAAAAAGAGCGCTAGAGATTATCTATTCCCGGACGTTGGACTGTGCTAGGAGCGCGCCTTTCGCCGCTACCGCGCTTGCTGTAATAGAGGCCGGAGAGTCAAAGAGCGCCGTGCTGTGTATACACTCTCACAAAAATAAAAACTTGGACTACGAAAATTTGGACTTTAAAGACATGTCAAATGAGTCAGTGATTCTTTTATTTTATTCGAATTTGATTGTCAATAACATTTTATAAGAACAACTGAGACTAAATAATTATCTCTAAATGTGTTAAGATCTTCATGGAAATTGTTGAAGAGAAATGGCATCGTGTTATAAGAGCAGCGCAATAAGATGGTCTGTGCCGAGGGAGACGTTCAGTTCGCGGTGCTGGATTGTAGAATATTTTGTTTTGTTTGTCGAATGACTTGCGCGCCTGCGTGTCTATTGTCTATTATGGCGTAGCTAATTAGCTGCGGCGCACTTGATGTTTGGTTGCGCTGGTAGGTAGCGTCGTTATCCCAGGTGCATAAGACACTGCGCGAAACATCATTGTGAAGATATACAACTGTGAAAATGTAATTGCTTTGTAAACGGGAGATGAAGTAACGTTATTACACTTTCATTAATATTTTATTGTCTTGTTTGAAGTACGATTGTGCGTGATCCCTCGCACACCCTTTTATCCTCCTCCGCTCCTGGAAAAGACGTGAGGGCCCATCGTTCTCCGACCGTTAATGGACTAACAATATACTAACTCTGCTTTTCCAACCGTTGTGTGATAAAACTGGTGCCAAGAGAAGAAAGCGATGAAAAAGTTTTGGCGCAGTCTTCAAGAATGTGGACGCAAAGGTCGCCAGATCTATGAGGTGCAGGAAGTCGCCCCTGCCACTTTCCCACTCGCCTTGGGCGTGTGTGCTGAAACGATCCCAGGTCTCAGTCGTATTTAGAACATTTACTAGTTTTAAACCCTAGAAAGTTCGCCGAGAATGTTTAATCGCTATAAACTTCGAATCCGAAAATTATTTTAAGACTACATTTTTATTCACAAATTAACACTTGTTAGTAATCATGGAGCATTTTGATATTTATGTTGGTAATACTGGAAAATTGATCCAACAGCGCTATCTTTGGCGAGTGTCTTTTTTGTTCCGAGTTCTGATTGAGCTCAGTCGTGAAGTACATTTCAATGTAAGAACGTCTAGCAATAAAGATCCATATATTAAGCAAAGGGCAGGTTTGAATTTCATTTCAAGACATCATCATTAACAACACTTTTACTTTATTTAATTGTTGAATACATAACATTTTTCGTTTTCACAACATTTCGACATTCTGTTTCAACGTCCTCTTCAGGCCCTAGGTTCCGATTTGAGATAACACTCTATTATATGGGTAATTGTTCACATTGCCATATAATTACCTATTGTTTTTCTTTCTTCTTTCTTTCTAGCCATCAGTACAAGTATAGCTTTCGATTTTCATAATTTTCAGCTCTGAACAGAGAAATGTGGTGGGGTGACGTTGTAAATTGTAAAATTCTGAATGTCTGGTGTGAACTCTTGAATGTCAGACATTTAATCGCTATTTTAATATAAACGTCTCGTTTTCGGTTCGACGTCGTGACGAAATCATAACGCAAACAAAATTATTTCATATGTGATTCTCTCATAGTGATGATGAGCAGTTCACACAATGGGACCTCATTTCCTTCCGAGGATCATGCAGCAGTTATCTATCCGTAGACTAACAAGTACAGGGACTCGAAATTTTTTATGAATTCTTGCTGCTTTTACTGCAAAGACAAGCTCTGCAACGCTGCTCCAATGGCACACATCGAATTCCAGCTAAACAAGGTTGAGGTCTCACAGAAATAACACAACTCCACTCTTGGAAAGACGTTGTAGGAGCATATTGATGAATATTTGATTAAGGTTGGTAGTGGAGCCCCTAAACAACGAAAGACGATGACTTGTACAGGTAGTACGGCGAGAGGTGTCGCATTGCATTGGAATGTTAGCGTCCGTCAGTGGGCTGGAGGATGCTGGATGAAAGAAGCGAAGAGGAAAGACGTCAGTCGTAGGTGGCGTCGTTTTGCTCCGAGGACTTGCTTGGCCGCGGAGGTGCACGCGTCGTCGGACGAGTGGTCGAACTGGCTTTTGCCCGGCCGCGCGGCCCGACTTCGTGCTACCACGGTGGGTCAGCTTCCGCGAAAATCCAAGAGAAATCAGAAAACTCAAGTTCCAGTTTACGGAAGAGAAACTGCGACAAGAGCATTTTTTGTGACAGTCGTGACAAAAAAAATCATAAGCAGCCCTTCGAACTTTTCTGATTTCTCTTTTTACATTTTCAGCAATTCATGAATAAAAATAATTTGAAATTTATGAATTATTGAATTTCAGAAATGTGAGAAAACCATGTGATTATTATGCAATTTTGCCTATTTTTTGTACTTTTCGCCTACACATTCATTAACAAAAAAAATATGTCATGTAGACACATTTTTTAACCTAATATTGCATGTGCAGAGATAAACTTTACTTTGACGTCAACTCCCAATCTCTTGCCTTATGTGTGGTGACGCAGAGTTAGGAGCGGGTGGAAACGACATAGACGAGTTAATCCTTCAGTTCACACAACTTCCTGAACGAATCCCTCGAAGAATTTGCAACATACTTTTCAAGCTGTGCCCCCCTCCCCCAAGGCAATTTTTCGTTAATTTTATTCTTTTGTTCAAAATAATTATAATTGTTCAAATAATTAAAATTACGAGCAAAATTTTAAACAAATCCTATTTATGCTAGAGGAAATCTGAACCGAAATTGCTCCCCTCGTCTAAATCACTTTTGGGATCCGCATCTGCTGAAAAGGATGAAAAAGTGAAATTCTTACAAATTTCTGAAGGTTAATTCACATTCGATTTTGTTTTACTGATTACGTTGTGAATGGAATTGCTCTTCTGAGTGCCTCAAATGTTGAACTCTAGGAAATTTGACCTAAATGAACGGCATCCGAACGACCTACGAACATGTGTACTGTTTCATAGTGACACTGCATGTTTCTAGAAAACATCCTACTCTTAGAGAAGTATTTCGTACCGTTTACTACTAATCAGCTAGGTCGTTCATACACACAGGGGGCTTGACATAATAACCTGCTTACGAAGCCAAATGGTCCTTATGTCAGTAAATTGATTCTGATATAATTAGCCGTGCCGGTAGGGTTGAGCGTGAGAGACGTCGGCGAGGTCTTTAGCAAGGGCTTGATGTGCATTACGCCGCTCCTCGCGCTAATGACAACACTGGGGGGAGAGAGAGTGCGCGGCGTCGCGAAGTCGCGTACCCGTTCCCGCCGCTCGCCGACAGATCTTCCCGCTGCGATAGCGCGCGAGGCTCGATTCGCGCGGCGATACGAGCGCATGGGCGGACGAGACGGTCGTTTACATGCCCTGCACTGGTGCGTCGCCGGGTTGCGGCGGGGGCGAGAGCCTCGTTACGTGCTGACGAGCGGTGTGGAAGAAAGGGAGCTGCGGAAGTATGCTCTGGCGTTGGAGTAGAAAGGGAGCTACGGAAGTGAACAGAATAGAATTGTAGAAATGAATGTAGGGTTTGCAAGCTAGACTTCTACTATCTTTATTCTACTATCTTTTCCATTTTAATTCTTTCCAGGGTGGAGCTGAAGTGTCGCAAGAACAATGGTAAGCGGAATTTTGTATTTGTCTTTAGCCATTGTATGTCCCGTAAATGGAAATTGGCGTCGGCGCCGTTAGATCACGGGGTTCCCAGTCTGTCACCCAACCAGGAATCTGCGATGCCCCGAATTCGCTTAACCTTCGTGATTTCACGTGGTTAACGAATTCGGCCAGCGATGCCGGTTTCGCGGTCGTGGCCTTTCAGTAGATCCATAATAGAATTGGCCTGGATGACCTAGGGAAACCATGAAAACCCCGGCCAGGATGGCCCTCGCGGGGATTTAACCCGGGTCTCCGAATACGAAATTAGCGCATTACGCCCTGAGCCACGTGCGAAGCAGAATAAGCGATAGAAACTAGTAGCAATTGAATAGATTTTTTCATCCTATAGTACACTCGAACCATTAAGCAAAAGTTTCAGGTGCAGTAATACGAAGCAGTACCTATACTATCGCAGTCGGAACCGTTCAGGTTGACTCAGAACTGTACCGTCAGCAAAAGTAACTTGTGAAAGAGTGCAACGCGAGATTTGTTTGGGGAGATCTCTTAGGTGTAAAAAAAGGCTATGCGAAAATGGGACCCCGATAATTGTTTTGGTCAAACTTCAAAAGTAAGATTGTCTTTAAATCTTAAAAAAGCACTTCTAGAAATATCTACACAGCGAGCTTCTTTTCAGTGAATGCCTCAACCACCCCAGAGAGAAGTGTGCGGCTTACAATGAGACGTGCCGAAGGGGGTTTCGCAGCTACCTGCTCAACATTTGTCGGAACCTTTGTCCTAAATTTTTTGTCTTTTTTTACATTAATTTTTAACACTCATTGCCTTACTTATAACAAACATGTTCATTACAATCCGAATTTGCTAGTTGGAAAAAATCTCTAAGACGTTTATGTCGTTTATAGATATATTCCGTGACGGCAGCTGTACCGTTGACAGCTCGTTTTATAAAACATTGCGTTCATTCTACTGTTCCCACATATATTTTCGTGATGAGTCCTCAGTTGAGACAAATTACACTGTTGATATTTGGTTTCACGGCATTTGTTAAACCGTGCAATAATACTGTTGCCTTATCTGCAAATATTTCGCTGAACGTCAATTTCTGACAGTATTTTAGAAAATAATGCGATGTTTGAAAAGGAGGTCTCATAAAAAGTACTGTGAGAAAACCCACTTTAAGTGAAATTGTTAAAGTGCAAGCCTGCGCCCTATTCCAATTCCAAAAGCTAAACACCAGTATTTACTACGCAAGGTCTCTCTACTGTATCGTCGTGTCTTTTGACAATGGCGAAAAAGCTCTGTATAATCGATACTGCTGTATCATTGCAGAAGCTTATACACCACCCTGCTATTACACCACACACTTTCCCTTGTTCTCAATTTCTCCCTTCACTTCGCGGGCGAATTTCCACGGCACATCTGTTCCAAAGGCTCGCGACAAAAGCAAATTGCAAGAATGCAGGTCAGGTATTTAATCGCTCGGATTTCAGTGCTACTCGGCTTGTGGCAAATGTATGCTTGTAGAATTCTTACTCGTGGTGTAGGTTGTTTTCTTTTTTGTCTAACTATCAAACTATTGCCTTCACGCACTGTTGATGGTTCCGTAAACGAGAGGTCGTGAATCACAAAGTATCTAAGATTCCTCAACCCCTCTGCAGAAAGTCGGCGCGAGCGGTGGGTTTTTGCGGAGAGGCGCGTGCCAGGACGTCGGCGGTCGTTTCCCTGGATGACGAGGTGGCGGCGCCGGGCAGGGCTTTCTAAGCCAGCAAGCGCCGCGGTCGTAAAGCCGCGCATCCGATCCGATTCGCTCGCTTTTCCTGCGAGGACACGCAGTCGCAGGTCACAAACACCAGCAGCCGGGGATTAATGCGCATGCAGACAAACGTACGCTTATGCCCCCCGCTGGTTAGGAACCTCAAATGTTTTACTGACTCGTTATTGTTTGTTATTGCCTTCGATACAGAACTCAATATACGCTGCACCTGGATCGAGAGGATCATGGTTACGAGCGAAATATGAAAACAGTTGAGTGATGCATATTCTCTGGTGGAGAGATATATGAAAAGACAGTGAAGTTAACATCTAGTTAATTAGTAAATATGCATAATCTGAATCGTTAAAATTAGTCTAAAATTAAGATCTTGTACATACGACTGCTGTTAATCGATTCTAATGATCTCGTACGACAAAAAACTCTCAGCCCAAAGGCGCTTATTGTCGCCGCTCAATCATTAGAACCCTTATAACGCCCTTGGTGGATAAATAACTGTAAACAAAATTTTATGTTAGTTCATCAATTGTAAAAAATTTGTAACATTAATTCGACAAATTACAAATGTTTTATTTTACATAGTTTTGAAATGCAATTTTTATTCAATATCAATAGGGTGTTTCTAGATTTAGTCATATATAAGACCCCTTAGGGTCGGATTCACCAACAGAGGCTAGCACCTTTGAGTTGTTACCCGAGAGTAAGCATTTCTCTGTGATAGTTACTCTCGAGTAGAATATAAGCATTTCACCACGCTTGTGTGTGGTTATTTTACTCTAGAGTACATACTCTCCGATTTACTCCGCGAATCAGCTTAAGGCACACTATTTGATTGCGATTCAAGAGGCTGTGAGTGGGAGTGATGCTGGGAACCAATGCGGACCAATACAGACCAATGCGAACTTTTGATTAATTCCTTATATTCTAATTTTCATTTCAGTTTCGGGTTGTTTGTGGTGTCTTGGCGTTATAATATTGTGCGGTGTTTGGTTATTTGAGTTAGAATAGTCTATTTCTTAGTTTTTGTATCTTTATTTCTTAATAAATATTCATTCTTCTTCTCTGGAGCGAGTTACTATGTTGTTAGCAATGCAGAAAAATTAAATTTGCTATAACTCATGAACGAAAATGTTTAGTTTTTCAAATGTTGCTGATCTCGCGTTTTTCTAAATTTTAATATTATTATTTATTGTTTTATTTTTAAACTTTTATTCACCTTTCAACTATTTGTATTTAAAATGTTGAAAAGGGATTGTGGAACTCAAGAAAAAGTGCGCAAATGATCTCCCCCATACGTCACATGTAGGTTTTACTAAATAAATAATTATTTCTTAGTACCTGTAGTCCCTATAATTATTTTTCCTTTTGTTATCATATACGGTACGTACTTTCTTTATTTCGTATCCACATGGGTAAAAAATAAATTTACAAGTTCTTGACAGTTTACAAAATATCTGATGTTAACAGCTGATTTGATCAAACATAACCTCGTGACAAAATTTCGATCGTCATAATTAAAACCAATCCATTCTCTCCCGCTCCCTTTGTCTTCGCACAAGTGGATAATTTCCGGAATCATTGCTGGAATAATCTTCAAATACGAATATCATTCGTATTCGTCGAGCCATAACAACACTTCGAAGATACATGCACGTTGAAACCTGAGCCTACTCCGTACTTAACCTGACTGATTTTCTCAATGTAAAGTGACTCTCGAATTTACTCTCGTGTAAGCGATTTACACTCGAGTAAAGTGTTGGTGAAACGCTCCAAGAAGTTACTCTCGAGTAAACTTGATTTACTCCAGAGTAAACTCTCTTTTGCTTGGTGAAACCGGCACTTAAGGTATTAAACCGCCCTGAGCGCTTTGTGACAAGCCCTTTGGACCTGCACTCTCCTGCTGCTACACTTCCACCTCACAAGTATCGCCTTAATTGTAATTTTCATTCACTTGACGGGTAATTCCTTCCCCTTTAAAGAGTAGATTCTTGGTTTCTCTGAATTGATTTCAAAATCGTGCAATACATCCGCACTAAAATTTTGATTTTATTCGTAATTACGAATATGGTGTGGCGACATATTTTCTTTGCAAATGACTTGTAAGTAACTTGCTTACTTGCATTTCTTATTTGAACACTTGAATACTGTTAGTCGAAAATTCATTAAATTTAAAAGAAGCACTGATATCGTCCGGATGTTCTAGATCTAGAACCTTGCTTTCTTGCTCCATTCTTCAGATTGTGCTCTTTCGTGGCGTCAAATAGAGAACAGGAGCAACAGCCGTCGTAACACAGCGGATAATGTTTCTTCTTCCCAAGTGAAAATCAAAATGTTTAAGATTATTCTTATTTTGCAATAATGATAAAAGTGAGAGGAATTAATTTTTTAAATGATAGTGTGAATCTCTAAAGTGAATTTAGAGTTTATAGCTGAAATTAAGGCGGATTCTTAATTTTGAAAATGAAAAAAGTCAAAGGAGGAAATAAATGTGCTTCACTTTGTGATAAAAGTATTATATTGTAAAATTCCAGTAGAAATTGTTAGAATTCTTGCTGCTTAAAGAATTCGGATGTTTTATCTGAATAAGATTTTTAAATAAACGTTTTAATTTAAACTAGTAGTTTTCATTTCCCCCTTAATATTTGGTTTCTTCAAGTGGTGGTGTTGTCTTCTTGCTTCATCTGCTAAAATAAAGCTAACGTTCGTAATTTAGGTTTTCAACCTAGTTCCTTCTGAAACATATATTTTGGAATGTTCTAGATACGTAGGTATGAATGATCCCGCGAACTCATATTAGTGTAATCTCGTGTTTCTAGAACACTTTCTTCGAATTAGAGAGGGAAAAACGTTGGTCACTTGCAATAACGACATAGAAAGTGGTGGACAACCGTAGCCATTGCGCTCTTGTAAGTGCTTTGTAATTTCTTCAGTTAACCGGGCAGTGGGCGCGCTCAGGGCAGTAACCCGTGGGCTTTCGAAACGCTGGTGACATTGACCCTCGGTGAAGTTGAGCATTGCAGAAAGGGAGAGAGAAAAAAATGAGGCAATTTGGCGTGCGCATTGTTAGCGGGGAAGCGCCGGTGTTGGGAGCCAATCCGAAGAGCAGCATCCGCTGCGGGAGCGGGCGTGAGGCAACGGACGCGCCGCCGTAGACAACCGTTGTTCCGCCGCTGCGCTGGCTCTTTCTTCCCAGGCAATCCCGAAGGGCCGTGTATCCGGCGCCGCTGGCGGCGCCGCAGCTTTCGCACTCACGCGCGCGCGCGCGCACACACACACACACACACACACATACACACGCACACAAACACACACATACACACGCACACAAACACACACATACACACGCACACACACACACACAAACACACACACACAAACACACACACACAAACACACACACACAAACACACACACTACCACGCGTTCTCCACAGCTTCCTTACCTGCTCTGCTCCTACCAACCCCACCACCAGCCTCCACGCATTACTACCACTCCATCCCCGTCTTGATCACCCCAGCCCAGCCGCCGTCCCTGCCAGTCGCCGTCCCAGTCCCTGTCCCAATCGCCGTCCCCGTCCCAAACTGACCCCTCTATTCTCTGCCTGGAAAAGGAACTGGTTTAATAGTTTCCAGAAGCAGAATACAAGGAAATTTTCTTACTATGAGTGTGAATTACGCCCATGGGCACTATTCTGCACACGCGAGCGACATGTGTCAGGATCGGGGGCTACCCGCAGAGATAGAATAAATTACTCATTTGGAATCGCAGAGAAACGTACAATATTTATTGTTCCGCGGTGGAAAAATGTTTGAAACATACATTACTAGAAACCTAATCATTTTATTTCTTTGATTTTAATGATGTAGCAAACTGATTCGAACGTAGTTAATGATTTTCGGTAATTCACGTAAATATTGAAGACGACATACCTAAAATCAGAACATATTTGTCAGATAAAATGTGTTTATCCTGTACCAGTCAAAGTTAATAACAATACAAAGTACTAAGAAGAAAAAAATATGTATGTTTCCTATTTGTTCCAGGAGTTCACATTTACCCGTAATGCAATATATAATTTTTATTTACACCCATAATCAAATACTTCCGAAAGATACAAATAAACCAATTTAAATGTCTCCAAACGAAGTTTTTTCTAATTACGTTAAAAATAATTTGTGGAGGTTAGAAATATATTTGCAAAAGTCGAGGATAATTAATTGATAAACGCTGGATAACTAAATGCCAGTTTGCCATAGTCATTGTATTTAGACAGAGTTTCTAGAACACGAATGCACGCTAACAAATGCTTAGAAGTACCAAGGAAACTCCCTTAGTATCTCCAAAATTAAATAATGGTCACGTAATTCGAGAGCTGCCGGCTGCCGCAGTAGCTGCTTGTGGAACGGGAATTGACGGCGCGCGGCGGGCTCGAGGTCGGGCGTGGGAGCGCAGGAGGAACAATCGCCGCCTGCGAGGAAAGTCGCTTCTGCCGCGAGGATGACTTCGTGCTCGCGTGCTTTCCGTGGGAATGCAATGTGAATTCGGCTGCTAATCGCTTGTGGGCGTCGACGCGTTATGCATGCAAGACTTTCCCGACTCGAGTGAATTTCGAGGAGGAAATAATCTTTCTCTTAAAAGGACCGGTAGAAAAGAAATAGAAGAATGTGTAGCAAAATAATAATAATAAGAATGATAAACTAATTTTAAATCCGATCCGGATAGCCGAAATCGCTAAGGCAATAGTGTCGTGGAGATCACGGATGGATGGATCGCGAGTTCGAGACCCGCCTCGGGCACGAGTTTGCGTGTGTCTGTATGTTTGTAATTGTCCCTTCAACATCATCATTATCATTATCATCACCATCACCACTACCACCTCATACATGTCCCTAGGAGTAACAACCCTGGGGTGTAAAAGTGGATTCGACACAAAAGTGCTGATCACCCCCATAACGTCACGCGCCCAATGCCCGCGGGAGAAAATGACTCCGCCTCTGTGGGTACAAGTGGCACGTTCGCGTGCTATTAGGATGGTCAATTTGCGACAAAAAATCGATAGAATGATGTATTAGGATGATTTACCAAAATATATATATTTGAAATTTGTAACGGTTTTGGAGTCCAACGTTTAATTTCTCCGTTTTGCCGACAAAGCAGAACTAGGGTTTAATTTTGGTTTCTTTACTATTTATTTTTACACTTGAATCGTATAGGAGTGTATAGTGTTTCAGAATGTTTCTAATTGTGAGAATAATTTATTATACAGGGAAATGACAAGTAATTTGGAGAGTGCTTTGTCCTTGTTTTATGTAAGTTGTACACCTGTTTTTCTTCACTTCGGGCATTCACTATATGTTGAGTGCAGATCTTCTTTCCATCTTTTCTACGGCCTTCCATGGTTTCTCCTTCCTGATGGTATCACATCCCTGGCTATCTTCATCAGTCTGTAACCGCTTATTCGTGTGATATGGTTTCTCCATTATTTTTCCCTTATTTTCACAAATTTGGTAATACCAGTTATTTTACATTGTTTTCTTTCATCCTAATTTCGTACCCTGTCACTCCTGGTCTTTCCTATTTATCTCAGTGTGTTCATTTCTACTGATCAGTATAGTTGTTTTCTTTTCTTCGTATCAGCTCGGGTTTCAGCTTCTAATGTCAAAATTTATCTTACCATTTTCTTGTAGATTTTAAGGGTACCTTTACTAATAAGGTATTTACTTTTCCAAGTTACATCTCTGTAGTATACTGATACGTGAGAACCTTTCATCGCCAGTTCCCTCGCCTTGGCAAGATCATTGCACGTTGAAGAAATAAGCCTTTACTTATGTATTCTTATTCGGAAAAATGTTTTACAGAATAATTCTTTTCTTAATGACAGGGATGTTTTAGCTTCAATAAATCCCCGCAAGTAGTTTAATAATGTAATTTCGTTGTATCGAAATTTGTTTCTGTTGTCATTGCTTTATTGTTTATCGATAGTTCATAAAATACTACGTCACGACGCTTTTCTTTTGGGTCAAAACATTACTTGTAGCTAAACTTTAATTACCTAGAATTTCAAATCGTAAATTAAAGTGATTTTAATCATATAATGAACATATACGCGGGTTGCTTTTACCGATATTTAGTATTAACGAAAAATGTGAATGAGCCCAAGTATCGAGTTAGAC